GAGTGTTTTCCAAACCCGGTCTCTCAGAGAGACTTGTCACTTAGAAAATGTTCCCTGATTATGAAACTTTGGCTGCATAGCGCTTGTTCCTGTCTCCAATGTGGCGACACATCCAGGAGCCGTCTGAGGAGAATCCCAGAATCTCACATTGTCTTCAGCTCATAAAGCGCCTATATGATTACGCACAAGCGTGACGCGTCAACCCAGTCTCACAGTAAGACCGGGTTGGACCCGTTCAGGTTTACGCAGACAATCTTTACATTTAGAATTGGCATACAGGTGTAAAATTAATGCAGTAAAATATAAAGCATTTTATTTAAATATCCATTCATTATTTTAGAAGCACAGAGAGCCGCATCAGATGGATGGATGAGCCGCATGCGGCTCCAGAGCCGCGGTTGCCGACCCCTGTGCTAGCCTACTTTATTGTCCCCAGCAATTTTTAAACCCCGCTCAAGTGTATGGTTATTGTCCCCAGCAATTCTGACAACAAACTGACGCCCTTGGGTGGCGCCGACGGCACCTGCTGAGACCACGTCCAACAACATGAATGATCTTTTCCTGTCAGAGAGTGATTGTGGAAAATTGGCGGCTGAATCCGCGGCTGATGTTCCGGCAGCAGAGACGCTCGACCTGGAGGCATCAGAGACCACCACGTCCTCCATGGATTATCTTTTCCCATCGGAGAGTGATTGTGGAAAACTGGCAACCGAAAGTGCGTCTGGGCCACGGATTGAAATTTTGGATGAACCTTCTTACAGTACAGATCCAGCTTGCTGGGGAAAATGTGATGCATCTGTGCGTGCCTACTGGGCTGAGCGAGGACCGCAGAGCTGCCAACACATGCACGTAAATTTTAAAGCGTCCAAACGAGTGTACAAACAGCAGAAGCGGTTCTTCTCCAGACTGCACTTTAAACGCAGACTCGCCAATGGTGAGTATGTCCAAAGACATTGGCTGCTTTACTCTCCATCTACCGGAGCTGTGTTTTGTTTTGCATGTTGCATTTTCAGTGATGCTAAAAGCAAATCGTGCTTTGAAACTGGTTTCAGTGACTGGAAACATGCCACAAACCGGATGAAAGAGCATGAAAACAGTGAACATCACAGAAAAGCTATGCTAACACATATCACACTTGGGTCAGCTGCTGGAAGGATAGATACAGAGCTGGAAAAACAATTTGAATCTGAGAGTACATATTGGACTGAAGTTTTGAGAAGAGTTGTGTCTGTTGTGAAGTTTTTGGCAGAGAGAGGACTTGCTCTTAGAGGATCTAGTCATGTTTTTGGCAGGACTGATAATGGTAATTACCTGGGCATTCTGGAGTTAATCAGCGAGTTTGATCCCTTTTTGAAGTCTCTTATAGAGAAATATGGAAATGCAGGTGCAGGAACACCTTCATATCTTTCTTCTAAAATATGTGAAGAGTTTGTTCAACTGATGGGTGATTGTGTTCTGTCTTAAATAGTCGGTGAAGTAAACATGGCCAAATACTATTCGATCTCTGTTGACTCCACACCAGATGTTTCCCACCTTGATCAGTTGACATTTATTCTGAGATATGTGTCACCTGAAGGGCACTCCCAGGAACGCTTTCTTAAATTTCTTCCCATAGAGAGCCATAGAGGGGAAGCTTTATGTGAGCTTGTACTCAAGGTTTTGGGAGAAATGAACATTGCAAACTGCAGGGGCAGTGTTATGATAATGCTGCCAACATGTCAGGAGTATATAAAGGACTGCAGGCACGTATAAAAGAAGTCAATGCCCTTGTTGAATGGGTTCCATGTGCAGCACACACCCTGAATTTGGTTGGGGTCAACAGTGTTAACTGTTGTTTTGAGACAGCTGATTTTTTCCAGTTTGTGCAAAACCTTTTTAACTTCTGCTCCAGGTCAACAGCAAGGTGGAACATAGTGACAGCTGGACTCAAGCCCAATGCTAATAAGCGCATTGAAACATTGAAGTCACACAAGATGGGCTGCGCATGCAGATGCCACACAGGCAATATGCATAAACTATGCAAACATTCAGAAATCTTTAAAGAATATTGTACATGACACTAACCACAATGCAGCAACTAGAAATGAAGCCAGGTCACTTGATAAAAAAAAATGGACAAACTTGAAACTGCCATCATGTGTACTGTGTGGCATTTCATCCTCCAGGGCTTTGAAAAGGCAAGTGTAGCGTTGCAGGCTGTGGAGCTAGACTTGTGCAAAGCTGTGGATTTGGTAAGATCCTTCAGGGACTACATTGGAGGTTTGAGAGATCAGTTTGACAGGTTTGAGTCGCAAGCAAAGGAGTTGTCTCCAACAGTTTCACATGTTTACAAAGGAAGCACCCAGAGACAAAAGAAAGCAAATACAAAAGGAGAAAGTGCCACCACTTCAGAGGTGGAGCAGTCAGCGAGACACAAATTCTCCACAAGTGTATTTTTGGTGGTTGTTGATAGACTACTTGCTGAAATGGATCGCAGATATGCTGCATATGATAACCTCAACAACACTTTTGGCTTCCTGAACAACCTTTCTAATGTCACTGCCCAAGAACTACGAAACAAAGCCTCTAATCTCCAAAGAAAATATTCAGCCGATCTGGAGATGGACTTTGTAGAGGAGATTGTCCAGTTCAAAGATTTTATTCAGAGTAGAAGCTTCACTTCTGCTCCATTATTTTTACAGTTAATCAGAGAAAAAAACCTACAGAGCATCTTTCCGAATGTGGATATTGCATTTAGGCTTTACCTGACATTCCCTGTCACAAATGCAAGTGGTGAGAGATCATTCTCTAAGCTTAAAATAGTGAAGAACAGACTCAGATCAACAATGGGACAAGAAAGGCTGAACAGTTTGGCTCTCATGCCCATTGAGAGTGATATAGTGAGAAGGCTGGACTTCAGTGATCTTGTCAAGGACTTTGCTGCCAAAAAATCCAGAAAAGTAAGCATGTTCTCTAAATGCTGATGGGTTTTAAAAACATGGACAAATGAGTGAAAGAGCTTGGTTGCCTGATCCATCTTTTGCTTTGAGCACAGTCTTCTATCTTAGTGGCAGATGAGTGCGCTTTTGCCTTTTGTTTATTTTTGTTTAAGTAATTTGACAGCAAAAGCAGAATTTGAATTGTATTAAAATGCTCAATGTGTAAATGACTACAGAGAGACATAATAAGATACCTTTCGTCAAACATTTTGACAGGTCTATTGTTTTTTGACCTTTTTGACCTTTCAGTCCTATTGTTCATTTTGACCCTTGACCTTGCCCCCCTTCCCTATCATCAATCAAATGGACAGGTGTATTGTTCAATGACCCTCTGACCTTGCCCCCCTTCCCTATCATTAATCAAATGGACATGTGTATTGTTGATCGTCCAGATGGCTTAGACCCCCCACGCCGCATCATCAATGGCGTATTGTTGAACGTCCAGATGTCCATGATCCCCCACGTCATAGGCTAATGTGTGTAATGGCGCGTGAAGTTTCTTATTGTGTTACCCAGTGGTTCCCACAACCCCTCCCTTCTGAGTGTATTCCTATAGTGTTACCCCCTTTGCATAACTCTTTAAAAGCTCAGATCGTGTCCGAATGCTGAAAAGCCGACCTCTAAGAAAAAATGATGAACCACGAGGAGCTGAATGAAGCACCAAGCCACGAGGAAGAGGTGTCTACATCCGACGCTTCAACTTCAACTCAAAAAGTGAAAGAAGAGAGCGTGGATACGCCGCTGTCGCAAGCCTCTCAGATATGTTCATCACCTAAATTCAACACACAGAAAGTTTTGTCATCTAAATTGTACTGCAAATGCAGAGAAGCAAGAAAAAGAGGGATATTTATTGTCACCAGTGAGCAGAACCACATCAGTCTGACACTGCAGCCATTATAATGCATTTACCAGCCCTTACTGGCACACCATATCAGTCTAACCTCGTGGACTTTTTATATCAAAAATATCTAACATGACATGGGTCACTGACAGTGGATGAGTGCGGCCTAACTGCTGTGAATGACAGCCCCACACACTGGTCAAGTACGTATGAAATGGTTGTACGTCTCCTCAAAGTTAAAGAATCTGACTGTAGAATGGGATGTGTCTGCTTGCTCTCGAGTGAGTGGCAGAAGCTGAAGTCAATGCAAGAACTTTTGCAGCCTTTTGCTGAACACACACACAAACTCTTCAGAGTGACACATTGTCTATGTCATTAATACTCCCTGCTCTCTTTGATTTACTCAGCCATCTGGCAGATGTTCACAAAGTGCTTTTCTCCCAAATATTAGATATTTGGATTTCGTATGTTCAGTCTTAAACTTTGTGTTTAAATGTGTAAATATTTACATGCAGCTCACTGACACTTTTTGACCAGAACTAAAACTATTGTGTAAAACTTTCTGTCCAGCAGCACATCAGGCTGAATCATCAGAGGCTGTAAACACACACACACACACACACACACACACACACACACACACACACACACGCACGCACGCACGCACGCACACACACACACACACACACACACACACACACATACATTTAAACCACTTTCCCGTTTCAGGAAATGCATGACTCTCTCTAAGACAAGTAAAGAATTTGGGGTTACCAACTCTAATCAGCCATTCAGCCACACCTCCCTTATACTTTACAACAAAATCACCCATCTCAACCACAAAGCATTTGACTTACTTATTGTTCTGCAGGTGGGCTTGTTTGAAAGAGTGCCAGGAAGTTGGTCAACAAAGAACTGGTTGAGCTTTCTTAAAGCTCATTCTAAACAAGTTGGCACGGTGATACTCACAAAGCAAATGACTTACTATTGTTTCAAAGAGCTATTTAGGTGAACAGCATCCTTTGGTTCGTCATCATCAACACTGAAAGCTTAACCCCTCGCCTCCTGCCTTTAGTGTCACATTTTGTGACTTTTTGTTTCCACTGTCTCACACACACACACACACACACACACACACACACACACACACACACACACACACACACACACACACACACGCACACAAAACATGAGTTAAAGATCAGAGCAGCTTCAAATCAGCTCACTGACTGTCAGTCATCCCACATGTGGCTAATATGACAAAACTTAAAAGTCTAATTTCACATGAAACTGTCATGGTGAATAATACTATTTATTCAATGAAAATAATTTTATAAATGAGTTGAGAACAAATTGTATGTTTTGTTTCTTTTTTCTTGAGGATTTATTGAACCACCTGTATTTGTGCACACGGATGAGGAAGTGCCGCAGTGCTTTTACCCTTTTAATATGAACAAATAAATCACTCTAGAATGAACATTTACATAAAATGAGTGTAAAAAAAGCACACGCCTCATTTGCTTGTACTTTAACCTTTATTAAGCAGAACTATTATTAAATGACCACAAAGTTGTTTAACTTTTATTAAAATGATCATTATTTTACTGATATTTACAAACAAATAAGAAATCTGTATTTTGGAAATAGGAAATATTAATCCGGCAACAATTTACAGGCATTTTAAAAGTTATTTCCATTATCTAGTTGCTTGGAAAATTGAACAACGACGTGATAAGTAGTATAAATTTGTAAAATAATCTGAAGTAAAATCAACTCTTAATGACAATTCTGAGTTAAAACCCCTAAATAGCTATTTGTAATTGTTTTCCACCTAAAAGAATAAAAGTTATTGTGTCAAAATGTAAAAGAATTTCCTCTAAAATATTGCAGTTAGACGAATCGCCCTCAGTGAGGGGAAGGGGTGTTTTGTGTAACTTGGTCACATGTCACCATAAACAAACTGCAGTTTGACACCTTCGCCTCAAGCGCAGACACGCTCCGGTCAGAAACTGTCCCCGCACCAGTTAGAGACGGGCAGCTATGGCGACTGTGGTGGACACGCAGGCTCAGTAAGTAAACACGCTACAGACAAAAGTTTACTTTTTAGCTGCTTGTTTAAGGATGAGACGCGATGCTAGCTTGCATCTCGTCATTTCATCTCCACCGATGGTTGCTGTAAATGTCACCAAAAACGTCATTTCCACTCGGTGTTTAAACTTTATTGCATTTATGTAAAGCAGCGCTTATTAATGCTCTGTCCGCACTTTATTTAGCTTTTACTAAATAAAAATAATATTAAAAGTAGAAATAATTTTAGCTGGAGCAGGAAGTTGCTTAGCTTGTGCGCGTGCCTGAGGGAGAGGCACTCGAGCGCTGTATCATTTGTGCCGATGATTTAATAATCTACTTTCATGTCACACGAAAACAAAATTAAAGTAACTCGGAAGAGTTTCCAGCAAACGTAGGTTAGTAAAACGTACTGGTGTTTTTACCAGAGTTGTAACTACTAAATGAACCTTATCTGATACTAAATCCAACAATTCTTATAAATACTTCATTATAAAATCCCATAAAAGAATAACATGTAACAATGCATTTCCTTTAACCTTTTTATTTAGTAGGTTTCAAAGGAAAAATGCTGGTAAAATCTAGATGAGTAATTAATGACTCATGTCTGAAACTAATCTCGGCACAGGTGTTATTTAAACACCTTAAACTTTTTCCAATTTAAATAGAAATATCGTTATGAAGAATATGTGAAAGTCTTTGTGATCAGCTGTGATTTTTTTTTTTTTTTTGCCGTTTTAGGGCATTTAGATCTTTCTAAAAAAAGTTTTCAGTTCAGAGCAGACCTGTTTTAGGATCTTTGCTTGCTTGTTCATGAGATGCCTGCAACATACAGTCCTGTGTAAATCAGTATGTTATGATCACTAACAGGAAGTTAGAAGACAACAAAAGAAAATCATAATATTTTTAAAAAGAAAAGACCCTTTTTTTTGCATCGACATTTAGAGTCAGCCCAAAGATAATTATTTTTGAAGAAATCCCTGTATTTCTTTACTTTTATTCATCAGTAAAAGTGTTTTTGCAAAGAAAACTATAGATTTTTATTCAGGGGAGACATGTTCTTTTTACTCAAGTGTGTTAAAAAGAAGCAAATATCTAAAGCCCTTGGTAATGATTCATTTTACATTACAAATTAACGATATTTAGCTAATTCAGGTTTCACCCTTTTGCATCAGGTTTGTCTAAGTGGCTGTGTCTCCCATAGCAGTTATATTTTATATTACCGTTTTAATTAATTCCTTTTAGCTTTTCTAGAGTGCACAGAAATTTCTGGAGGACTTCATGCAAGTACTGTGTTTCTGAGATTGTATGAATTTAATTAAATATTTTGTGCTTTCAGGCCACAAGTAGCTCTATGTCTTCTTCCCCCATAAAATCCCGTCTCCACATGAGAAAGAAGCTCTTCAGGCTCTCACTGTCGGTAACCAAACTTCACATAAACATACATACAGATGATGCAGGTTCACCAACTGGCAGATCTCACTTTAACACATTAGACTTCAAATTTTAAATTAATCTTTTTATATTGTTTGAACAAGACAAATATCAATGGCATGATTTTCATCAGTATTTTGATGTACAGTATCTGTTTTTAATCAAAGGTCATCATAGTACCTCCAATGATTTAGTCCATTTCCTGTTGAAGAGAGCAATCTAGTGATTAGCACTAAATTACTGCATGAGCAAGAAAAATGAGGAATAAATCTGCTGAGAACTTACACCGTTTGATACCGTGATTCTGCTGTGAATCGTAACTTTTCAAGGGTTCCGTGAATCGCATCATGTGACATTTAAGGCTGGTTAACCACACTTCCAACGTGTTTGGAGGTAACGATAATATTCTCTTTGATGCTTTCCAGGTTCTGGAGGCTTGTATGAACAATTGTGGAAAGCGGTTCCGCAGCGAGGCAGCTAAGTTTCGCTTTCTGAATGAACTTATAAAGTCTTAACGCCAAAGGTAACTCACAGGTGTCATAGACCCACTAACATAAATCAGTGCAGTTAATAAACGTATCTGAAAACCTATCTGGTCCAAGTTTAACACAGTTTTTTCACTTTGAAAAGTAGATAGTTGATGTTTAATTTGTCCTTACAAAATAAGCTTTTTTTATTACTCAATTCATTTGAGTTTAGTTCTTCAAAAAAAAAAAAAAGCTCAATATGAAGATTTGTGTAACATACTTTATTCATCATAAAGATAGTTTACTGTTGTAGTAAAAACAACCAATGTGCTGAACAATATTCCAAAGCTACAGCAAATTATAAATGAAAACCTAAACTTCGAGGATGAACTGATTCTGGTTTTTAGAGCCGATACCGATTTGTGATTCTTGTGTAGTTCTGACCTGCCAAAACAGATTTATTTCAAAGAACTACTGCTTTAAATTTCTGATGATTTTGAAAATGATTTTTATGGAAGTAAAACAGAGTCTGATTAGTAAGACTGTTGATCTGATGTCCATTTTCAATGTTGTGAGTGACCAGAAAAAATGAAAAAATATCCTTGTTGTCTCAATAGTTGTGAAAGAGACCTTAAAAGAAAAATACTTTCTTAACATAATTTCTTTTTCTATAAATCTTGGTATTTAAATTATGGTTCGGTTAAATAAGGAATCTAACTGTTTTGTAATTTTTATGCATTTCAGTCAGATCAGCATAGTTTAATTATCATCACCTACTGATTTCAGTCCTTTGGCGCGTGGAGTCCACAGAAAGTTAAAGACAGAGTGACGGAGGTCTTCTACGGCTGGACGCTCTGGCTTAAAGAGGAACCTAAGATTCAGGAAGCCTACAACATGCTGAAGAAACAAGGTGAGGGACAACACTAATCGTGATTTTTTTTCTGCAGGATTTTGCCAACCTGAGAAATACCACATTAAAAATTAATGTTATGTTTACAAAAACTAAGAAAATTTTCAAGAATAAAATCCTCTCATCTCTCTTGTGTTAGGCATCGTGAAGAAGGATCCCACACTTCCAGACACAGTTGTGATGGCTCCTCCGCCTCAAAGAACCACAGAGTCTGTTTTTTGATCAAGACGACAAGGCCAAGGTGACAGACCGGAGTAACTTTAAAACAACACACTCTATTTTATTTGTTCAACAATTCTGTGTTTAACTTAGATGTTGGTTAGACTATTGAGGAGTGGCCATCCTGAAGACCTGGAAACCGCCAACAGGCTCATTAAAAGCACCATCCAGGAGGCGAGGAGCACTGCAGCACTGCTGGTCCTCATATTTGATTTAATGGTGGTATGGATGAATCTTTGGATGAATCTTCGGTTGTGTCTTAGGAGCAGGAAAAGGCTGAGAAAGTGTCAAAGCGAGAGTCAACCCTGATGGAGGTTGAGAGCAGCACCAACCAGCTGAGAGAGCTTCTGTATCAGCACATCGATAATGAAACCTCGTTACAAACCAGTGATGACATGAAGGCATGTTGCGTTTCAAACTGATGTTTGTTAATAATATCCGACTGTTAACAACAAAAATTACTTACCAGAGTCTTACTCCACCCACACTTCTTTTTTGATATTTCATCACTGTTTTGGGTCTGTTACAGATCTCCGCTGAACATTTGTTATTTTATTGTAAATTTCAGATATGCCATGTATTTAAAATGTTCAAATAAGTGTAACCGTCAGTACTGTTATGACATATTTCCATTAACACTAACAAGCTTCCGGTTTCACTCTGTAACCAGTTGCCACCCTCAGTTAGGCTGTCCCCATATCTGCCGGTCTTTAAGAGTTGCCTAAAACCCCACCTCCTCCGCTCGACGTTCCCCTGAACGTGTTTGAGGTCGGCCTTCTTTTTTGTTGATTTTATTTCCCTGTTTTCATTGGTGTTTTTATCCCTTGTTTTATCCATTTGTTTCTACTTTTAAATGTTTTACCTTTTTTGCACTATTTGAATTGCTTTTATTATCTATTTATTCATTGTGTTTCACATTTCTTATGTACTGTGTTCAGCGCCTAGGGCTTCCTGACAGGGTTTCGGAAGGCGCTTTATAAATAAAGCTCTGATTGATTGATTTGATTTACCTTGACATTCTGACCATAAACATTAAATTGCTCACTCTTGCAGTTTTAAAGAGTCTCTTATTTATTAATTCACAGCACTCTTAAGTAACCCTAAAACTTAAAATAAAAGGCCTAATATTCCTGGAACAAAACTTTATATACAGCAACTTTTATAACAAAACTGAAATATTCACTTCATCTATTAATATAAGATGATGCCAGTCCAACATTTTGGAATAAGAATTGAAAATAATTATATTTATCATCTTGCACACTCCCAGCAGTTTTGAATGGCAAACCTATGAACACACCGAATTTTAAGTTAACACCTGTGGCAGGCCCCGTCTCCGGCGTGAACGCAGGTACGTTCTTCCAGGAGAGAGATGCGCATGCGCTGACGGCCGATTACCGGACACAGCAGCGTTTGAAGCTGATGGCAGCTCGTTAGCAAACATTCACAAACAATTCAGATGCATTTTTGCCTAATTTAAAACTGACAACGCAAAAAAAATAATCTGGTAAGTATAACTCGCTCAATCTGGAGGTAAGTGAAGAAAATTTAGAAAGTTTACAGAACTTTATTGACGGAGTTTTCGAGTTATTTGTTATGGGTCCGAAGAAATCAGCAGGTGAACCTGAAACACCTGGGACGAAGCGGAGCCGCCCTCAGGACTCGCCTGAGGCCTCATCTCCCCGGAAGGACATATTGGAATTATTAGAATCCATAGATAAACGGCTTCTGGGATTTGAGGGGCGTCTTCATCTGCTTGAGGTTCTGCACCAGGAGTTTCAGAACCTCCGCCAGTCCCTGGAATTCAGCCAGGAGCAGGTGGAGCGGCTCGCTGCTGAGAACGCGTCTCTGCGGGAGTCCGTTTCTTCCCTGGAGGAGGGAATGACGCGGATCACCCAGGACAACAAAACTCTGAAGGAGACGGTTTTGGACCTTCAGGCCCGTAGCATGAGGGATAATTTGGTGTTTGCAGGTCTGTCGGAGGAGGTGGGAGGGGCCGAGGACTGCGAACGCACTGTTAAACACTTTCTCCAGACCCAAATGAAGATACCCGAAGAAACGGTAAAAAACATCACCTTCGACCGAGTACATCGCCTTGGAGCTAAAAGAGGGGACAGCAGACGACCTCGTCCCATCGTGGCTAAATTTGAACATTTTAAGCAGAAGGATCTGGTTAAAAGTCACGGAAGAGAGCTCAAAGGCAAAGACTTCAGCGTTAATGACCAGTTTCCTAAGGAAATCCTGGATCGGCGCAGAGTTCTCTTTCCGCTGCGTAAAAAGTTTATCCAAGATGGGAAGAGAGCTGTCATCTCAGTGGATAAGCTTTATGTGGATAATAAACTTTACAAGGAGCGAGGAGTGACAGACTGGCTGTATTAGCCCAACATCAGGTCAGACCTTTATTTTTCTTATCAGATTCACTGGGTTTGAGCACGTCAGTAATAAACAGCTGCTAGATCCGTGTTTTAGATGATGAGTTCACCTGTTCATCATCACCTCACACCCCATCACCTTTTCTTTCTAGTTCTTTCTTCTTTTTTAACCTGTTTCTGTATTTTCCTTTCCTCTTTTTATCTGCTTCTTTACACCTGTATGGCACAACCACACAACTTTCCAACACTGCGTCAGACTCCACACACACACACACACGCACACGCACGCACACACACAGACACACACATGCACACACAGACCCACACACACACACACACAGGAACACGCACACACACACACACACACACACACACACATGGATATATTTAAGTCACAATACAATATCATAATTTATGCGTCAAATAATACAACCACAAACACTGTTGAATCCTTATTATTATTTACTTTTCTGTTATTTATTAACATACTATTTTATACATTTAGATACTTATTCCATCTTATTCACATGAAGGCGTCATATTTTAGCTACTCACACACACATCTATGGGTGCACTAAGATTTGTCTCATGGAACGTACATGGAACTGGCTCAAGAGATAAAAGATTAAAGATTTTTGATCAGTTAAAAAGAATGCAAGCAGACGTAATATTATTACAGGAGACTCATAGATCTGCCACATCGGCAGATGAACTTAAAACACCTGAGTTTCCCAGCATGTTCTCTGCCTGCTATAACTCTAGGCAAAGAGGGGTAGCTATTTTAATACACAAAAACATCAATTTCACAGTACTGGACACAGTTTCTGATCCAGAAGGTAGATTTATAATGTTAAAAATAACTATACAGAACCAACGCTTATGTATTGTGAGCATATACTGTCCAAATATTGATGACCCTCCATTCTTTCATAATTTTTTCTCTGTACTCTCCGAACACTTGGACTGTCCACTTATACTTGGAGGTGATTTTAATCTTTGGATGCATTCCTTAGACAGGCTCAGTACAGCTGGGACTCGGCGCAATTGGCAATCTACTTATATAGTTAAACAGTACATGAGTGATTATGGGCTTTGTGATGCATGGCGATCTCTTCATCCTAACCGTAGAGAGTATACTTTTTTCTCACACGTCCATCACTCTCATTCACGTTTGGATTATTTTCTAGTCAGCAGCTCATTGTTGGCTGACATTTCAGACACTGAGATACACCCTATTGTTGTCAGCGACCATGCTCCGGTTTCTTTAACTCTAGTAAACAAGAAAGCAATCCCACCAAGCAAAAACTGGAGGTTTAATACATCACTGCTTAAAGATGAAGGTTTTATAGAATTTTTTAAAAAGGAGTGGGCTTTATATTTAGAACATAATGACCTGCCTGGAACATCAGCATCTATTCTCTGGGAGGCAGGAAAGGCAGTGATGAGAGGTAAAATAATCTCTTTCTCATCACATAAGAAAAAAACTGAAAATAAACGTATCCAGGAGTTAGAAGAAATCATTAAGTCTTTAGAG